TTTCATCATTATCTTAAATTACATCTAAAATTTGTATGTCTAATGCAAATTTTAGGATGTTTATATTTAAAATGATCACCATCTTGTAAGGATTCCAGCAATGTAAATTATATATTTTATGAGCTAAAAACATATATATCTTCAGTAAATAAACAAATTATACTTCACCCGCGTAAATGATGAAATTTACCGCCTAATTAAAACATTTCATTCTGGCAAGGTGCCGCATAAATGACCAAACACGTAAACAAAAACCGCGTAAATCCAGACTATACTGTATACAATCAGAAACAAATGTAATAAAAATGTTGAGTCTTCCTCCCTCCCACTCTTCTTCCTCCCTCCCACTCTTCTATCTTCCTCCCTCCCACTCTTCTATCTTCCTCCCTCCCACTCTTCTTCCTCCCTCCCACTCTTCTATCTTCCTCCCTTCCTCCCTCCCTCTTCTTCTTCCTCCCTCTTCTTCCTCCCCTCTCCTCACTCTCACCTCTTCTTCCTCCCCTCCCACACTCTTCTTCCTCCCTCCACACTCTTCTTCTTCCCTCCACTCTTCTTCCTCCTCCCATTCTTCCACTCCTTCCCTTCCTCCCTTCCCCACCTCTTCTTCCTCCCTCCCCAAGCTTCTTTCTCCCTCCCTCCCAATTTCTCTCCCTCCCTCCCACTCCTTCTCCCTCCACACTCCTCCTTCCCTCCTCCACACTCTTCCCTCCTCCCTCCCTCCCTGCCCTCCACACTCCTCTCCCCTTCCCTCCCACTCTGCTCTTCTCCTCCCTCCCATTCTCCCTCCCCTTTCACCTCCCCCTCCCTCCTCCTTCCCCATCCTCCTCTTTCTCCCTCCTCCCACTCTCCCTCCTCCCTCCCCCTTTCTTCCCCCTCCCAAACTGCTCCTCCCTCCCTCCCTGCTGCTCCCTTCCTCCCTCCCCACATTCTCCTCCCTCCCTCACTCCCTCCCTCCCTCCCTCCCACTCTCCTCCTCCTCCCTCACTCCCTCCCTCCCTCCCTCCCTCCCTCACTTCCCCTCCTCCCTCCCCTCCCTCCCTCCCCCCCTCCTCCCTCCCTCCTCCCTCCCCCTCCCCTCACTGCTCCCTTCCTCCCACTTCGTCTCCACTGCTCTCCCCCTCCCCTCCCACACTGCCCCTTCCTCTCCTCCTCCTCCCCACACTGCCTCCTCCTCCCTCCCTCCTCCTCCCCTGCCTCCCTCCCACCCCTTCCTCCTCCCTCCTCCCTTCTCTCCTCCCTCACCTCCCTCCTCTCCCTCCCCTCCCTCCCCCCTCCCTCCCTCCCTCCCTCCTTCCTTCTCCCTCCCTCCCTCCCTCCTCCCCCCTCCCCTCCCACACTTCTCCCTCCCTCCCTCCCCACACCCCTCCCTCCCTCCCTCCCTCCACCTCCCTCTCCTCCCCCTCCCCCTCCTCCCTTCCCTCCCTCCCTCCACTCCCTCTCCCCTCCCTCCTCTCCTCCCTCCCTCCCCCCTCCCCTCCCACACTCTCCCTCCCTCCCTCCCACACCCCTCCCTCCTCCCCTCCCCTCACCTTCCCTCCCCCCCCCCTCTCACTTCTCTCCCTCCCACCCCCACTCCCCCTCCTCCCTCCCCACACTCCTCCCTCCCTCCCCTCTCTCCCTCCCCTCCCTCCCCACCCCTCCCTCCCTCCTCTCCTCTCTCCCTCCCTCCCCCTCCTCCCACTGCTCCTTCCTCCCTCCCTCCCCACACTGCTCCCTCCCTCCCTCCCTCCCCACTCTCTCCCTCCCTCCCACACTGCTCCCTTCCTCTCCCTCACCCTCCCTCCCCTCCCTCCTCCCACTCTCCCTCCCTCCCTCCCTCCCTTCCCTCCTCCTCCTCACTTCTCCCTCCCTCCATCCCTCACTCCCTCCCTCCTCCCTCCCTCCTGCTCCCTCCCTCCCTCCCTCCCCTCACTGCTCCCTCCCTCCCTCCCTCACTGCTCCCCTTCCTCCCCCTGTTCCCACACTGCTCCCTTCCTCCCTCCCTCCCACACTGCTCTCTCCTCCCCACACTGCTCCCCTCCCTCCCCACACTGCTCTCCCTCCTCCCTCCCACACCTCCCTCCCTCCCACACTTCTCCCTCCCTCCCTCCCACACTTCTCCCTCCGAGTGCCAGTAGAAGGATGGATCTTTCTCCATCTCAAAGGTGCTCAGTGAGAAAGGTTCAGTACCTAATGGTGGACTTTTTAAATTTAATTGCAATAAGGTTACACACACACTTGTAATTTTAAATAAATACAGGATTTTATATTATTTTAGTTTTGATATTTAAACTTAATGAGATTTTATTTTATTTATATCGTAGTTCTAAATTATAAGTTTCATTTTCGACTTCAAATGGCCACAGGCCGTGACGCTAGATATTTTACCCAATCAGTCAATTTATCAATCAATCTTTCAATCATTCAAACAATCAACCAACCACACATGTTCTCTGCCTTAAACAATCTTCTTTTCTGCAATATTTTGCCACTATGTTACTGCATACCTTGCTTTTTTCTTGTTTCTTTTTTTTTGCAGGATTAGCCCACCCGGGCACTGGTCACTGACCCACATGGGGCCTGGGGGGCAAAAATGTAATAAGGATGATAATAATAATAATAATAATAATGATAATAATAGTAATAATAATAATTATTATAATAATTAAATCATAGTAAATAAAATTTATAATAAAAAATAAAAAAGTAAAAATAAAATAATTGTCAATAATAATAACAGCACCACTGATAATTATGATTATAATAATAGTAAAGAACCACAATGAAATGCAAAATGAAAAAAGATCAATAGTGAGAAACGATATATGCACAGTCAGTTCTGCTATAACGCGATAGTTGTGTTCTTTTAAAACCTCGCATTGTAGAAATTCGCGCAATGGAAATAACAGGGCTTATGGAGAAAATAGGGTTAGGTGCAGATTACTCGAAATAAAAAATAATTAGTAGTTAGCCTAACACAAAGGATAGCACAGTCTAAATAAATGTTACATTCATATCTAATAATGAAATCATACAGTAAATGTAACACTTTACCTTGAAAAAATATGAATATAACTTGATGGGGGAGAAGGTTAATGTTGAGGTTGAGGAGTCATGCAGTGTCATCATCATCAGGTGCAGTTTTGGTTGCATGGGAAGGACGAAAAAAACGTCTAATTCCAGAAGTGGATGGCTGTGGTTCAGTGTCTTCAGTCTGCTTCTTGGGGGTTGACTTAAAAAAGACGTCTAATGTTTGTTGTTTTGCCGTCTTTCTTCTTTCACAAAGAAGCTGTTCATAAGGTGCCAAAAAAGATTTAACACCACGAACTGCAATCCTGCTCCTTTCTGCATTGTAGTCATTGTCTTCCAAGAGCTGCAACTGCTTATCAACTTCCCTCAGGATAGAAGATAAAACAGAAGTGGGAAGCTTGCGTGGTTTTGCATCCTGGACTTCATCATCTTCTTCATCTTCAATTTCCCCAGCAGCAACAAGTTGTTGTAGATCAGCTGTAGAGAGGTCTTCACAGTGGGACTCGAGCAGTTCCTCAACATCAGCACTTTCCACTTCAGCAAAGCCAACTTGCTTTGCAAGAGAAACAATTTTTTTTTTGGGGGGGGGGAGCTCCTCTGATGCATCATGAATGAATTCTGGGAGAAGCTTCTGCCAAACTCCACTCAAACAGTCCTTACTTACATCACTCCAGGCCTCCACAATGATGTCAATTGCATGCTTGATGTTGAAACTTTTCCAAAACTGAAGGACACTGGCCTTATCATTTCCTTCCTCAGTAGCTGCAATAAGTTTCTGAAATGTACGCCTCAAATAATAGGCTTTTAATGCTGCTATTACTCCTTGGTCCATTGGTTGAAGGAGAGATGTTGTATATGGAGGTAGAAAGAGCACTTTGATATTGTCAGAAAGCTCAGCAATGGTGGGAGGGCAGCTTGGCGCATTATCTAAAATGAGGAGAATCTTAAAATCCATATTATTCTTCTTGCAATAACTTTTAAAAATATTTTAAAAAACATCCACAAGGTCAGAAAAAATTTGTCCCGTCATCCAACCTTTTTTGCTTGACCTTAAGCAAACACCTAGAGTAGACTTTATGTAACCCTTTAAAGCTCACGGGTTGGCAGATTGATACACCAGCACAGGCTTAAGCTTTAGGTCTCCACTAGCATTTGCACCCAACAACACTGTCATGCGGTCCTTCGCAGCCTTAAAGCCTGGAGCACGTGTAAAACGCTATATGTCCGCACTGCAAAACATTATTTGTATTTATTTTTTTCATACAATATTGATGGGAACAGCTAATTTTGCAAAAAAATGGATGAAATTTATAGAGTCCCTATCAAATAACACTTCACAAACAAAACACGTGAATCAATTGAACATGTGATGTCGAACGTGAACTGTAAACACTGCATAACCCCGCGCCAAGCGACAGTACACTTAAAACATTCAAGTGGAATCACATTACAGCCAACACGAGTTCGCGTTTTACAAATATCGTTCTTCTATTCATCAATCGCGTTACAACCAATTCGCGTTGACAAAACACGCGTTATAGCAGAACTGACTGCATGTTGTGTTGTCAAAGTATGAGAAACAATTGAGACCCTGCAATTGTGTGTAAATGAGGCAGAAAGTCAGATGAGCAACCTGGGACTGGGTCACAATTTTTGTGATGCCATATGGCAGCAGGGTCTACCATTAGACAACACATTTTTTCAGCTACTCTTAACCCCTCGGGTATGAGGGGTCTCTCTGTGCTCAATAAAATCGTCTTGTGTTAGCCAAATATATTATTAAAAGTGTCATCCAGTAGTGAATGGGTTAACAGAATAGCCTTTAATGATAACCAGCAACCCTCCGACACTAACCCTCACACTCTCTGTTTTCACTCATCTCTGTATAAATGCTTCCTCTACATTTTGTCTCTTTAATTTTCACACTTGTAGTATTATTGGTTGTTAAAGGTAAAAGCACAACTGTAAATGATTTTAATGTTGTCCTACAGGGAGGGATGCGTAACATGAGGCTGTCATCTTCTGTTGCAGTACCAAGAATGAAGCCACAGGGAAATGTTCGTGTAGCTCAGTCTCTAGATGTGGAAGGTGAGTACAGTCGGGGTCCACCATTGTTATGTGTTCGTATTGTGCAACTCAGATGCTAATGTGAATGTAGTTGTGGTTTTGGAAATAGAAATGACTGTTGGACTGTTGATAGATGATGTGGGTTATATAAAAAAGGAAAAAGATATGAAGCTATTGAGGATGAAATCAGGATTGAAGGAATTTAACCCCTAAACCCCGGGGGACGTTCCTCTACGTTTACTGTATTTTGGTAACCTCGAGTGATGTTCCTCACCGATCTTAATTTTCGCAGCATATTTTAAATCTCCAGGCAGGACGAAATACTTTGTATTGGATATTTGTTTAATTGGCAGCTGAACTCACCTGTGTGCAGTATTTCATAGTTCTTTTGAGGAAAATAGAAGTATATTGCTCTTTGTAGTAGCTATAAGATAGAGATATGATATAAAAGTGTCTTCAAGTAAGAACTGTGTTGTTGAAGTGAGTGTCAAATTCACTTCCCGCTCACTGTGGGCTGTGTGCAGCAGCTTCAAACAAAACTTCTTCATCACTCAGCACTGCTCATCAACACTCAAACTATGCTACAGTGGGGTATGCTATAACGAATCTAATTGGTTCTAGAACCTCGTTCGTTATAGCATTCGTTCGTTATAGGATTAATCTGTTCCAGGCCCCCAAATACAACCACTTAACACTGAAAAAATTATGTGGAAAATGTAAAAAATACGGTACTTTATCTTACCTTAGTGTTGATCAGCATGCAGGACAGGAGGCAGAGGGGAGGGGGGAGGAGAGAATTATGGAGAAGAGGTGGAAGGAGAGGAGTCATCCTTCCTAGCCCTCTTTGGTGACTGTCTTACAGGCACTTTGTCTGTAGGGTCTTTTGTTACCTTTGTAAAGGAGAAATCCAGGGTTGGCTACTTCAACCTTGATTTCTGGACCTTCCAAAAGTAGTTCATAACATTGTCATTAAACACACTGATGGCCTTTTGCACAGAACCAACATCAGGATGATAATCCTCTGCAAGTTTGGACAGTGTGCTCCAGCATAAGAACGCATCCTTGAGATCTTTGGCTGGAATGATGCAGCTTTCCTCCTTGTCCTCCTCCTCCCCTGACTCCTCAGAAGTTAAGCTCTGCTTCAGTGTCTCGTTTTGTTCTTTGTGAAGCTCAAGCAGCTCTTCAGTGGACAGTTCCTTACTGTGCTCTTCCACCAACTCCTCAACATCATCATCATCCACTTCCAGGCCCATGGAATTACCCAGAGACACAATTTCATGAACAACAGCCTCTTCCTTTAACTCCCTGAAGCCTTCAAAGTCTCTTTGAAGGACACATTCAGGCCACAATGGCCTCCAAGCAGCACAAAGACACCTCACAGTAACCTCTTTCCAGGCTGAGGTAATTAAAAAAAACAGCGTCTGCTATATTGAAGTGACTCTTCCAAAATTCCTTCAAGCTAACATCACTGGAAGAAGTGGATGCAAAACATTTGCTAAACAGTGCCTTTGTGTACAGCTTCTTAAAGTTAGAAATTACCTGTTGATCCATGGGCTGGATGAGAGGTGTTGTGTTGGGTGGCAAGAAGTGCACAGTGATGAAGTTGAACTCCTCTGGCAATTCAACCATCAAATTAGGAGGATGGGCTGGTGCATTGTCCATCACCAACAAAGCTGTCAGTGGAAGATTATTCTCCCTGAGGTATTCCCGAACACTGGATCGAAACACCTCAATCACCCACTCAGAGAATAAATTCCTGGTCACCCAAGCCTTTGGGTTTGACCGCCACATAACACCAAGGCGGGTCTTCCTAATGTTTTTGAAAGCTCTGGGGTTTTCTGCATGGTACACAAGGAGTGGGTTTATTTTGCAGTCACCAGAAGCATTAGCACAAAGAAGGAAGGTAAGCCTGTCTTTCATTGGCTAATGGCCAGGGACAGAAGTTTCCTCCTTGGTAATGTATGTACGGCGAGGCATTTTTTTCCAAAAAGTCCAGTTTCATCACAGTTGAATACCTGCTGAGAAACAAAGCCTCCCTCTTTAATAACATTCAAAAAAATGTCATGGTGTTCCTTAGCTGCTTCCTTATCTGCACTAGCAGCATCACCATGTCTCACAACACTATATAATTTTTTTCTCCTTCTGAAACCAGTAAACCACCCCTTGGTACCCCTAAACACTGGCACATCACTATCACTTGCACTGGGAGTCTTGGCTTTAAGGTCCTCAAACAATTGTCTGGCCTTCTCACAATTATAGCTTCACTAGTGCTATCACCTGCCATTTCTTTCTCCTTTATCCACACTAAGAGTAAATTTTCCATCTCCTCAATCACATTACACCTTGCTTTGCTAAGTCTAGAGATTCCCTTAGCCACTTGCACAGTTTTCAACTCCTCTTTATTCTTTAAAATCGTACATATAGTCGATTTAGCCATCCCATACTCATCACTAAGTTTCACAATGCTTGTTCCATCCTCACGTTTCTTTATGATTTCTTTCTTAGTTTCAAGAGTTATGAGCTTTCTCACTCGCTTTGGACAATTCATTGTCACAATTATACACCTGTATAACAAAATATTTATACAAATAACTCTATTTCCACATCAAAAGACGAAATTTCAACAATAACAGTGGTGCACTGGCTACACAATGAGACAAAGATGGCGCCTGACACTCTTGTTGTGGGTCGCGGTACAACAATATTAATGCGCCAGACGAAATAGTCCCTTATTCATCCGCGTTCGTTGTAGGAGTTGCATTCGTTATAGCATTCTCCATTTTATAGGTAAACTGTTTGTTATAGGAATATTCGTAGTAGGATCTGTTCGTTATAGCATACCCCACTGTATAATGAAAGTTGAATGTAAGTACAGTGGTCCCTCCGTTAACGAATGTCTCAATTAACGAAATTTCGGTTAACGAATTACCTTCCATAAGAATCTTCAATTCGGTTAACGAAAAAATTTTTATTAACGAAATCCTTATGAAAATCACGTTTTGTTTAGAACATCAGCTGATAAGCTGAGGGGATACTCAGCCAATTCAGTAATCTCTTCTATATTTACATTCGTTTCCAATGGAGTAAATATCAAGAAAATTTTGCACTTTAATATTTGTGCATTTTTTTATACAGTACAGTGGTACCCTGATTTACGCGGTCAATTGAACCCACAGGGTACCGCGGAATGTGAAAACCGCGTAAAGTGAACAACAGAACATATGGGATTAATTCCAATAGAGACTGGCCCAACCCCCAAACTCCACTTTTTCTGACACAATACCTATGTTGTAGTAAAAAATAACATCTAAATTTTGTGATGGTATGCTCACACAATTAATATTTAAGAGAAATACAGTTGCCAGGTTAATGTCCATTCAAATAATGGACTCAAATCCCCCCACCCCCCCCTCTTCCCAGTTCACTAGCTCCTACCTCTCTGAGAAATATTTGGGTGAAATCACTAGATTTTAACGTTTAGTAGTAAATAATACCTCAGACTAAAGTTAGGATAATATAATTGACATTTCTGGATTCTTTGCAGGTCAGGGAATATTTTGAATGTAAACTTCATATATTTTGCACAAAAGATAAAATATTTGCTTTGTGTAAACCAAATTATTACATTAGATCTAAAATTTGTATGTCTAATGCAAAATCCATGATGTTTATATTCAAAATGATCATCATATTGTAAGAATTCCAGCAATGTAAATTATATTCTGGCCGGGTAATTTGTATGAATTTTATGAGCTAAAACAAATATCTTCAGTAAATAAACAAAGAAATATTCTTCAAGGACACTATCTGTCAATCAAAATACCCCACCTCTGCCCTCCTCCCTTCCTACCCCCCACCTTCCCTCCCTACCAGAGAAGCGATTGGGAGAAAAAGTATAAGTATAATGATATACTGTGTAGTTTGAGCTTTATGACCAAATTTTAAGCAAAAAAAAATTTGGGGTCGCCCCATATGTAATAGTTTTGTTCCCATGATGTGTAAGGCGAGAGCAACTTTTAGCTTTAGACATGAAAAATATTTACCATTTACAGCCAGTAAACAATGGAAACGTAAAATATGTACCAATTAGTAATGAAAGGTTGTGCAGTTCCTTCAGCAAATGAAGTTCACCAACTTACAATAGGCTAAATTACCTTACAACGTGCTTTCAGTAGTCTATGTTGAAGTTCCTAGCACAGGCTAACTTATCATATCATATACGGTATCACAGTTCTCATTGATCTACAAAAAATACCGGTAATAAAAACCTTTTCGATATTTCACACTTAATATAATACCCGGTAATCTACTTCAACCTCCTATTGTTTACAATGACGCATGACGCACCACCAGCTTTATCATTAGACCAGTGGTTCTTAACCTTTTTAGGGTCGCGTCCCCCTACAGCAGTTGGTCCTCATCTCCACGCCCCCATCCTTCCTTCATATAAAATTCTAAATCTCAAAATTCTAAAGCCATGATCATAAACACCACCACATGGCCATAAACATCACTCAAAGTAGACAACGCGTGATTACAATCCATTTTTGAGTAAGCAAATTTCATTCTCGTTATTAAAACGAAACAATTAGCATTAATTTCAATTGATAAAGTAATTATCATTATTGTTTCGTTCATAAAAAGTCTACCCTACATCATAGCTCAATTGAAGAAAGAAATCCGTGAGTGTGAGAGGGAGAAAGTTGTCACGGGCGGACGTCGCGGGCGACTGGCACTTGAAATCGTCGCAGACTCGCAGTCAGTGTTGAAAATTTTCAAATGTGAATTATCGTACTGGAGCCTCAAAATTATCGTTTCTTCATCAAATTATCGTACACTTACCGACATTATTACTTCCTTAATTCAGTCACTTTTAGTGGAATTTTACATTTTGATTGACGTAGTTATCATTTACGACATTTTGAAGTATCTGTGGGGAACGAGAACCCCTCCACCCCCCTACGAAAATCCAAATAAGGTCATACACACACCTGTTAAGGCCATTCCTTATTTTTTGCTCTGTCTACGCCTCTGGAATGCTACCAGGCCCTTAGGGTGGCACCCCGGTTAAGAAATCATT